TCTCTCTCTCTCTCTCTGTCTCTCTCTCTCTCTCTCTCTCTCTCTCTCTCTCTCTCTCTCTCTCAGAATTTCACCCACCCACTAGCAGGGAGATGAAGGTAATGACATCTCCACCAACCCAGCTGGTGCCAGACAGAGTCACATACCTCATAGCTCTCCCGAACAGCAGAAGTGTGTCTGCTGGGATTTAGTCCTTGGAGAGCAAGGAAGTGAAGCTGAGGGTAAGGATAGTTTCGGATTTCATGGACGACCTGTTAGGAAGAGAAAAGCTTGAATAGAGGCAGATCCCAGGCTTATCCATGAGACCCCTATGCAACTCCTCCTCCCATGATTACTGGCCAGCACACCCAGCAATACTGAAGGCAACAGAGATGTTTCCCCCTTCTCTTGGGTCCCTCTGATCTCATCAAGAACCAAGCTGTAGAGACTCATTGGTCTCTTGGTGTACCCAGGGAAAAAACAGTGGCAGGAAAAAGGAAATGTTAGACAAGAAGACAAGATCTGGGTCAGGTAAAAGCCTGTCTGCCTGATTGGCAAAGAATCCCAAGAAGAACAGTAGAGATATTTACTTACAGTCTTGCAGAGTTATTATCATGAGATACAAGGTTGCCTAGCAACTAATGATTGACAATGTCCAGGCAATGTTTTGCTCAAGACCAAGGTAGCTTGAGGCCTTGCCCTGCCCTCCCACATATGATCAATTTCCAGTTTCAGTGGCTCCCAACACTAAGCTTGTGCTTGGGCCAGCCCAAGAAGCATTGACAAAATCAGGTAAATGACACCTAACCTTTACTGGGTGCATCCTTTATGGCAGGCACTGCCCTAGCGCTTCACATGACAAATCAATCCAATCATCTCACTTGATGTACATTGTACATGCAATTCCAATGCCTTTTACTGGTGGGGAAAGCGAGGCAGAGGATTAAGTAATTAGCTCAAGTTATGCAACCAAGTGGCAGGACCAGGACTCAAGCCAGGCAGTCTGGGCCAGGGAAGGCCAGGACCAACGCAAAGCACAAAAGACTCACCCACCAAAGTAAATAACAGTGCTGTGATAGTTTTGAAGTCAAAATGAGTGCAAAAAAGGTCCAGGCTGAAAAACATCAATATTTAAATACAGATTGGCCTGTATTCACTTGGCCCTGACTCATTTACCTCTTGTTTGCCCTGACTAGGAGTCAGAGGGACCAGCTCCCATTCAACTCCTTATTCTGCATCCCAGGACCAGCTATACAACCTGTCTAACCCTCAGATGGCCAATCTGTAAAACAGGGATTAAAATGCTGTTGTGCAAGCTGATTAGGAGAATGAAATAAGATACATAAGGTGCTCAGAACAGTGCCTCTGGGATCTTTTGACCTTCATACTAGATGTGCCAGGCAGACATCTACATTCCCATTTCACAGATAAATAAAAACAAAACTGAGGATACATGGTCACAGGAAATTCTGAGGTCATAGGAGGGACAGAGTCTGTTCCACCTGATCTCAGCCCAGTGCATTCCCCCCACCAAAAAAAGCAAACCCCGCAGCATTACCCCACTGCCCTTTCTACTCCCATTTCTGCGCAGGAACACCTTCTAGCCAGCAGCTTCCCTTTTACTCCCACTCAGCCCAGAGCAGTGGTTGGCCTCCCGGGGAGCCAAGACTCAGGGCAGGCTGGACACAGCAGAGCAGGGATGCAGAGGAGCCACAGGCCTCAGCTCACTACTGCATCCAACAGGCGGTTCATTCCCGGCAGGGCCTTTCACTCACCATCTGTGTAGAGGAGGAGTTCCTAGGGAAGTGGTGCATTCGAGGAGTCGCTAGGTAATGCTGATAGTGCTGAGGGATGGGCCGCACCTGGAACTGAGCAGGACTCAAGCCGGCATCCACGCTGAGATCCCTGCAGGGACACAACCCCAGTGAACCGCGGGTAGCAGATGTGCCCTCTGGTCCCAAGAGGAACCTCGGACACTAGAGCCACACACTACCAGAGCTGCTGGGAACCTTCCATCACTATGCCCTGCCCCTCTCTGTAAAGGGAAGAAACTCTGTCCCAGAGCAAAGGGCTCTGCAGAGCCTGAAAGTGCTGCAGCCCAAACCTCCCTCCCAAGACAAAGTCCTCACTGAGAGATATGCTGAAAGAAATATATGAACAGAACAGATTGGGGACATGCAGTGAAGGAAGAACATGGCCTGCGTGAAAGTGGAAGGGCACTTTGAGAAAACAGGAGGAACGTACACTTAGCTCTACAGAAAACTATCCTAACTGCAACCCCACCACACACACACACACATACACACACACACACTTCTAAAAGTATAGGGAAACTCATTTCACTTAAATCTAATAGATAAATTAATTACACTGAAGAGGAACCAATGGTTAATTTGGAAAAAGGATTTATTTCAGATCTGTGGATGCACAGATGAGAATGCACAAAATGAGAATGAAACATCTTATCATAACTGAAAGCAAGACAGCTATCAAAGAACGCTAGGGTCAAGGCTCTGTGCTCAGGGACCATTCAGCAGAGGCTCCCATTGCATGGCAATTTGCATGGCAATAAGGATAATTTGCATGGCAATAAGCATAACTTCACTCATCTATAAAGAAGGACAAATTTGAATCATTTGTTGGAAAATAAATGCACCTTGAGATCAAAATGCTAAGTGAAATAAGTCAGACCCAGAAGCTTAAATATCACATGATGAGAAACCCAAATTACAAATAATTTAAGGAGCAAAATAAAAGGTAGTCGATAGGAAACAGAAAGCTAGGCCTTCTGCAAGTGGCAAAGGATCTAGAGATGGAGAGAGGTAAAGGCAAGTGGGGAGGAAGGAAGGTAGAAAGGATTAAGATGCAACATATAGGGAGCTGGGAAGATGGTTCAGTGGAATAAGTGCTTCCCTGGCAAGCACAGGGACCTGAGTTCAATCCTTGGTTCTGCCAAAAAAAAAAAAAAAAAGGGTTGAATTTGGGACCAGGGAGATGGCTCAGTGGAATAAGTGCTTGCCTGGCAAGCACAAGGGCCTGAGTTCAAACCCTGGCTCCGCAAAAAAAAAAAAAGATGCAACATATATTTGAATTGACTCCCCATGATGGCACATTCATGGGCATGGAAAATATGCACTCATAAAAAAAATTTTAAAAATAAATTTAACATCAGAAAATTCTGGAAGTGTCTTAATATTCAAATAGAGAATTATGTTTTTTATGGGTTTTCCTTTTGATTAAATCAGGCTTTTTAAAATTATTGGAAAAAATAAGCCTAATTGCAATGGAGACTGAAACACAGGACATAGGTTTAACTGATCAGTGTCAGCTGATGCTGAAGAAAACTGGTCTACTGTGAAGGATGCTAGCGACCCAAATCCTCACTTGGAAAACTAGTAAATTAAAAAAAGAACCAAACATTTATCTTGCCATTTCCTCATTAAATGCACTTCAAGGTAACCAAATACTTAATGAGGGAAAGTTTCTCTTTATAAATGTCTTCCAGTTAATAAATGGATAAAGAAGGATTAAATTATTTGTTTTCATTTTGCATCCCCTAAAGAAATAAAGGATCTAAGCAGAAATCATCAATTACTAACATCACAAAAGGACAGAAAACCAGATACAAAGTGCTTTCTGGTGCAAAGACAGCACCGCCTCTGAAGTCCTTTTGCTAAGAAGTAAAAGTTGAGCCCTGAACTTCTGGAGCCTTGATCTAAGTGCCACTGTGCAGGGAATATAAGAAGCTGGAGCATCTTAAGCGGCACCACCAGAGCAGAACAGCAAAATCCAGACAAGAGCAAACTCTCATTTCTTTAGTGTGTTCATTTTTTAAAATGAATTGGAATTGAATGGTTCTTTTAAAGGGCCATAAAGGGATTTCTACTCCCAACCATGTGTTAGGGTTGCAGGAATCAGATTTACCCTCCCACATTAAGCTACTAGAGAACTGCGCAGAATACATGAAGTTTGTTTTCAGATACTGCATAGTGAGTAGTTCAGAGCTGTGGTCCCTGGGGGAAGAAAACAAATAAGGTGAAGCCCACAGCTTTCTATGGTAATGCATCCACAATACCATATTTTGGAGGGAAGAAAGCTGCATCAAAAGAAGTTTCCAGAAATTTGTACCTGAGTCCCCTAGCATCTTCACTGAATACTAAGGTAATGCATACATGGGACGAAATCCCATAAGGTTGAGCAAAGAGCACCCAAGCAATACTGAACATTGGCCAGAAGTTGCATGAGGTTAGGATGCATTAAAGTTGCAGCAAGTCAGCATCCATGCTGATGATCATTCAGAGAATTCAGCAGAGACCCCGTAGTGCCTCTGGAAGCCTGCTTATAAGCTTTATTAGGACAGGTCTAGAGTACTTTCTGATGTAGGGATATTCTAGACCTGCAGTAATGAGACTTAAAAACAAGTCTCCAAAGAATCAAATTGAACTGTAAATGCTACTTAACGGAAGAAAGTTCAACAGTCTAAAGAAGTAAAACAAACTTAGTTACTCAACAGTGCATAATTCATAATGTTCATCATTCAGTTTAAAAAAAACTGGATGTGCTTTAAAAAAAAAAAAAAAAGGATAATGTGCCTATAATCAGCTCAAAATCAGACAATAGACCCTCAAGATACAGAAACGACAAAGATGATCAAATTAGAAAATAAAGGTACTAAAGTAGCTATTGTAGTCATTTCAAACAGGTAGATAAAAGTATAAACATAGGAAGGAGAAAAAAGGAAGATATTTATAAAATGACCTAAATGGAACGTCTAGAGATAAAAATGCAATGTCTAAAATGAAATTTCACTTGGTTCGATTAATAACAGGTTAGACACTATAGAGAAAAATTAATCACTTAAACACATACCAATAAAAAGATCTAAATAAAGTATGTGGACAAAAAAACCCTAAAAACTTAGCAGTCTCGGTGACAATATGAAGTGGTCTGCTATATGGGTAGGTAAAGACCCAGAAGGAAACTGGGGGTGGCAGCACACCTGTAATTCCAGTACTCCAAAAGGCTAAGCAAGAGAAATAGATGTTCAAGATCAGCCTTAGCAACTTAGCAAGACCCTGTTTCAAAAATTTTTTTAAAAAAAAATTATTTTACTTTTAAAGGCTGGAGTTGTAGTTCAGTATTAAGCCCCTAGGTTCAATCCTTAGTACTGGAAAAATAAAGATTCAAAGGGACAGGGTAGAGGGCAAAGGATAGAAAAAATATTTCAGGGGGAATAAAGCTTGATAATTTTTCCAAATTTGGTGAAAACTACAAACCCATAGATTTAAAAAGCTTAGGGCCAGCCAGGTAGCTCAGTGGATTAAAGCACCTGCTTAGGAAGTCACAGGGGTCGGAGGTTTGATCCCAACTGCCGTGGTGGTATGGGCCTGTAATCCCAGTGCTTGGGAAGCTAGCTGAAAACAGAAGAATCACTGCAAGTCGGACCTGTGTAATGAGATCTTGTAGACCCAGCATTAAATATAAATAAATAAATAAATAAATAAATAAGCTTAAACAACTTCAAGGAGAATAACACAATCACTTCATGGCACATAATAATCAAATGTCTGGAAAATAATAATAAAGATAAAATATTAAAACCAGCCCAAGAAAAATAGACCCATTAGATACCAAAGAACCTGCATAAAATTATCATAGATTTCCCCAGAAACAAAGCAAACTAGAAGACAATAGGAGGCATTTTTATCAAAAGAACAACAACCACCAAAACCTGTCAGCCAGCAAAAACACCTTTCAAAATAAAGGTGAAATAAGACATTTTTAGGTAAACAAGCTTGGAGCAAAAGTGCTGCCTGCAGACCAAGCACTGCAAGGAACACAGCACTGAAGGAAGTTCTCCTGTCTGAAGGAAGGAAAATCGCTGCAGATAGAACCTTAGGTCCATTCAGAGCAATGAAGAGTTCCAGGATGGCAGTTGGGTAAGAAGTGTAAAATATTCTTTTCTCCATTTAAAACATGAAGTTTGATCATTTAAAGCAGAAATTGGCACCGTTTTGCTTAAAGGATCAGATAATGTGTACTTTGGCATCAAAGGCCCATATTTCTTTGTTATAATTATTCCAGGGGAGGGCTGGTGAGATGGCTCAGTGGTCTAAAGCACCTACTTAGAACAAGCTTAGCAAAGCACAGGGAACGCGGTTCAATCCCCCAGCACCACATGCCAGCCAGCCCCACCCTCTGGTGGGCTGAGCTGGCCACACACACACACACACACACACACACACACATAAATAAAGTTCTTTTTAAAAAAGGTATCATGTCATCTGCAAATAAAGATAATTTAAAAAAAAAAATTATTCCAGGGGACATTGTAGTCAGTTCAGTAGCAGCCAGGCACCATATGTAAACAAATAGATATGACTGTGTTCCAATAAAAATCTATTCACAAAAACAAGGAGTGGGCAATATTTGACCTCCAAGTAACAGTTTGCCAAGAGCTTGATTTAAAGCAAAAATTATAGCAGTGTTATAATATGTATACATACACAACTATGAAAGGAATAGGAAAGGGGTGATAATGGAAGTACATTGTGGTGAGTTCTACACTTCACATAAAGCAACATAATTCTATTGTAGGACAGAATGATAAACTGAATATGTATATGATAAATTGAAGACTCCCACAAAATATGCTAAAATAACAAGATAAAATAAAATGATGTGACACTACAGCCAATATTTAATCCTAGAAAATATTCAACCAATCCAAAAGTCTTGATAAGTACCTGCCTGGCAAGCACAAGGTCAAGTTTGATCCCTAGTACCACAAAAAAAAAAGGAGGAGGAAGAGGAGGAAGCAGAGGAGGAGACGGAGGAGAAAGAGGAGGAGAAGGAAGAGGAGGAGGAGAAGAAGAAGGAGGCGGAGGAGGAGGAGGAGAAGAAGA